GGGGAACTGAGTGAGAGATCACCTGTGTGGTTTGAAAGGCGATTAGCAGCCATTTGACCTAAGGCTTTGGATATATCCAGCTCAGCAGACACCTCTCCACTCTAGACCTATCTGGATTAATTTATTTTGTTATGCATTTTGTTTTATACTAGTATAGTGCTTGTTGTCCCTTTTTTTTTTTTTTTTTTTTTTTTTTTTTTTTTTTTTTTTTTTTTCAGCTGTTTGTCATATATGTCAGTGCAAGCAAAAACATCATGGGCGAAGTGACTGGTTTGGCTTTTTTTTTACGTTTATTGTTTGACAAGATCTCTCTCACCGTGTACTTGGTTGACTCTTTTCCAAACCCACTTCTGTCAGGGCGAGATCTCCCTATTGTATGCGCTCCAGATAACGCTACAATATCCTGCACAGCCCACATTCACAAAATTATATTCACCATTCTTTTCACTTTGGAGGCTTTCCACTTTTCACACACATTTCTTTTCGCATGACACACATTTCTTTTTGCATGACGCTGATGACAGGCATTTCGGTTTGCATCACAGACATTTCTTTCCACAGTTAATAGTCATACAACAACAACAACAACAACAACAACAACAACAACAACAACAACAACAACAACAACAACATCAGCAACGGTGACGACAACGACAACAACGACGACAACGACGATGACGACGACAACGACGATGACGACAACAACAACAACGGCGACGACAACAACAACAACGGCGACGACAACGACGACGATGGCGACGATGACGACGACGACGACGACGACGACAACAACAACGGCGACGACAACGACGACGGCGACGACGACAACAACACACCTCAGCAATCAGAACTGGAATGATCATCATTTTGATGCCATGACGAAACACGGTGACACCACGTCAAAATCAAAAAATCAAAAATGACAACATAGCAAAGAGGAAAAACTTGGAATCAAGAATAACACACTTTAGCACATCTGGGGGAATCTCTATCTTTTCATCGCTTATAGTTAGTTGTGGGGGGATCTGGTCAACCACACCAACTTGGCCAGCTTTATTTATTATTATTATTATTATTATTTTTTGGAAGCAATTTGTCCGTATATTTCAAATGAGACAATTGAGGCTGGGAATCCCTCAACAAACAACCCGGTAGGAAAGCCAGGAGAAATACCCAGGATTGGCCCCTGCTGGAAACCGGGTCCAGCGTCCCATTCTAACTTGCTATAAATCCTTCCAAAAATTATAACCTTGAAGCTCTTGGCCAGCTTTACAAGTGTACACTCTCCGTCATTTTATTGTTTGTGGCTTCTGGGTGGGTTTGGTGTCAAATTGTCAATATTAGGTGATTTCATCTCTCTCTCTCTCTCTCTCTCTCTCTCTCTCTCTCTCTCTCTCTCTCTCTCTCTCTCTCTCTC